CCCCAAAACCCCAAAACCCCAAAACCCCAAAACCCCAAGAAAGAAATAAATTATTGAAGTCAAATTTATTAATCTATAGCATCTAAAATGGAATTGCCAGATTTGTCTTGTGAGAAGTCTATTTCTGTTCCTGGTAGACATGGGACCTTTTATGGAAGATCCTCTAGCCCAACGCGGTCGTTTGCCAACATGTCAAGGAAAGATATTGCAATTGGAAGAAATTCGGAAATATTTTTGGGAAGTATAACTCGACCACCTCCTCTAAGCATTTGAAAGAGAGGCTCTGAGGCTAAGACTGCATGAAACTTAAGTTTATTGGATACAAGATCGCCTGGTACATGCTCTCAGAATGAGGACACTCTAGAGCAGAAATTGAATATCTTTATTCATCCATATAACCACTCTGTCACAGTTCGAAACCATATGACTTTTGAACAAAAAAGTAAAAATGATGTAAAAGCTTCAGAAGAAAGAGATATAGCAGAAAACAAGTGGAAATTTTTATAAAAGATTTCATTTTTCAACAAAACAAGGAGCAGTTCCGTGAGGTCTGCTATAACGCCAACCACGATATGTACACACCTATCACTAATCTCTATAGATACGATATATACAATGAAAATGGGACTTGGAAATAAACTTTTCAAGGTGAAATTTTGTGCACTTCCCCTGCACTTTCTCATATCTCTTAAATTCTCATCCCAATAGTATAGATGAGTAAAGACAAGAAAGATGAGATTAAAATCAATAATCTAGCACACAAGAAACGGAGGAAATACAAGCTGACGACTCACAAATATTCGAAGGTGCATAAATCTTCTAGGAGGAAATCTATTGCTTCAAGGTTTAACTCCTCGATGAACATGAGCAGTCTCCAGCCAAGGTCAAGCTTACTGAAACCGAAGGATTTCTGGCTGGACAACGCTCCTGAAATAACCATGAACTGTATTAAGGAAGAGAAGGAAAAGGAGAAATATTCTGAAAATTCCAAAATCAATACTCAAAAAGTGTTTAAATAAATTTACTGAAGTTCCCGGGAGGAAGACTAGTAAAGGCGACCAGATCAAACTCAAGCTCAAGAAGGTAGTGAAGAAGAAGTTTTCGTTTATTAATCCAGAGAAGATGAAGACTTTAGGCATCAAAGTCAAGAATTATTCCAAGAAGCCTGATTCCTCGAAAGATGATAATAAGTCTCATATGATTTCAACTTTTATGTAAGTAATGATTTTATAATTCTTAGTAAAACTAAGGATGATAGCTGAAAGAATTTTAAAACAGGCAAATTCGAGAGGATCCAGTGAAAACAGATTGGTGAGAAGCGAAAGTCTCTAGAGATGACTAGTACTTTTAATAAAGATAGGATACGACACTCTATATCTCTTCATAAAAGGCATGGTCTCTTTTCACCACCTTGTGCACAGCAAAAGAGCCCATGTTTTTCACCAATATTTTCTAAAATGATTTCAAAAAACTCTGGAAATCAGATTTTGCTTCATCAACCCAGAGATGATTTGCCAAGAACCTCTGATCAAATTCCTCATTTTTCGACTATTATCAAAACAAATATTAGAGATTTCAATGGTGACCAGGCATTATGTTCGAGGTAAGATTTCAGGTTAAATCAACATCATTGCCGGATGGAGTACATCATTTTTCCAAGTGTTTAATATACATACTTTCTCGTTATAATTCATAAATTAATAAAACTTTTAACCTCGACAAAGAGATAACCATGATTACTTGTAAAGACAGATTTTTGCTGTAGATGATGATTTAAAATTCTTAGAGTTATAAACAACCCCTATTTGCTATGGGATGCTTAATAAATATTTCGAGGAGGTGGTTCCTAGTTGGTCGAATATTCTAAATTTCAAACTCTACATCTTGTTGTTAATAATCAACCTATCAAAAATAATTTTATCTCCTAAACTGCCCCAATCTCTGATTCAGCTCACAGATTGTGTTCCAAACTCTCCTAAATCTTAATTTTTCTGACATACGAAATAGGGGAAAAGACTCGCCGACAAATGCCCAAATCAATGAATTTAAGGAAATCAGGAAGCTATACAATAATCTTAACAGGAATATCAAGCAGAACAACCTTTTGCTATGCAGATACAGAGAATTACGAAACCGAGGGTTTAGAAATGGAAGGAATCATAGTATATCATAATAACTTCAATAATATCAGAGTTTTCTGGGGTTTTGGGGTTTTGGGGTTTTGGGGTTTTGGGGTTTTGGGGTTTTGGGG